GCGAGGCCCTCTGCACGCGGCTGGCCATCATGGTGAACGGGCAGTTCAAATGCCTGGGCAGCCCCCAGCACCTCAAAAGCAAATTTGGCAGTGGCTACACGTTGCTAGCCAAAACGCGGAGCGAGGAGGAGGGCGAGCTGCAGGCCTTCAAGGCCTTTGTGGAGAAGACTTTCCCAGGTACTGTGAGCTGCTGCAGTGGTTCCCCTCCAAGGGAGGAGGGCAGGATGCTGTTTGTGAGCTTCAGCGAGTTCCCTAACTTGGAGCATCTCCTTGCTGGTCTCTCCCAGGCAGCGTCCTGAAGCACGAGCACCAGGGGATGGTACATTACCACTTGACCAACAAGAACCTCAGCTGGGCGCAGGTAAGGGGATGCGAGCATGTCCCATCGCTTGGCAGGAGGGACAGCCCTGTCCCTGCCCCTCCGTGTGCTCTGGATGCTTTGCTGTCACCCTCAGCTCATCATCTTTTTCTTCCAGAGCCGCTCTCTGTCAAAAATCCAAGCAACTTATAAAAAACCCCAGGCAACAAAGTGTGTGTGGGGGTTCTCCCTGATCTGTTCCCACCTCTGGGTTCCCCAGACAGGTCACCTGCACCTGTGGTCAGGGTGCGAGCAGCTGGGCCCACTCCCTCCCGTATATTGATAGTCTACAGCATGCAGAGATAGATGTATACAAATAGTCATTATAATCGATATATAAATACATATACAGTAGACACATATATATATATAGATTTTATATACAGTATATATAGGTTTCTAGATATATCTGTATGGTATATGTAGGTTTTTTTATATATGTATGTATTTATATATACACATATATATATGTATATCTGTGTGTATATATATATATTCTCTGTATGCTCTAAATACTTGATGTAGAGAGTATATCTGTGTAAAGAGTATAGTATATCATACACAGAGAGAGTCACAGAACTGTAGAATGGTTTGGGTTGGAAGCGACCTTAAAGATCATCTTATTCCACCTCCCACTAGACCAGGACACCTCCCACTAGGCTAGATTGCTCAAAGCCCCATATAGAGTATATAGTATAGAATGTATATGTATTATAGTGTATATATATAGTATAGAATATATATACAGAGAGAGTACATAGTGTACAGATTACGTAAAAACTATGTATGTAGCGTATAGCCCTATATAAAACCTACCTGTATATTGTATACAGGTATGTCTATTATATGGATTATATAGATTATATAGGTCATATAGGTTATATAGATTGTATAGGTTATAGGCCATGCCATCCCTTACAGGTCTTTGGGGCCTTGGAGAAAGCCAAAGAGAAGTATCGCTTGGAAGACTACTCAGTGAGCCAGATCTCCCTGGAGCAGGTCTTCATGAGCTTCACTCGCTTCCAGCACTACACGGAGGACCGGGGGAAATGAGCCCTTTCTCACGAACTGGCCTATACATAGTATATAGAGAGACAGTAATTTATATATTGGCGTGTCTGAAATAATGTATAAATGTAAGAAACTTTTCACCAGGGAAGGGGGGGAGGGAGGGGTGGGGAAAGGATGGCGACGTAGCTTCTGGTGCCCTCGGGGCTGCAAGGGGTGAGCGTGTGTTGCGTGCTGGCGCCAGGCTGCGTTGGCACTGCCATGCTCCAGTCTAAAAAAATTTAAAAAGAGAAGGAAGAAAAAAGAGAAAAAGCAGCCCAAAAAGCAGATGGAAGCCTGGGTCGGGGATTGGGCTGGCAGCAGGGGGAATGGGATGCTGTCCCCAAGTGGCACCGCACAGGATGGAGTTAGTGGTATCACAGGGTGCTGGGGCACTGGTGAGGTGGGTTAGAGGTGTCACAGGGTGCTGGTGAGGGGTTAGAGGTGTCACAGGTTGCTGGGGCACTGGTGAGGTGGGTTAGAGGTGTCACAGGGTGCTGGTGAGGTGGGTTAGAGGTGTCACAGGGTGCTGGGGCACTGGTGAGGTGGGTTGGCGGTGTCACAGGGTGCTGGGGCACTGGTGAGGTGGGTTGGCGGTGTCACAGGGTGCTGGGGATGCTGGTGGGCTCACTCTTGCAAAGGCATAACCAGCAGTGCTGCCCTTGGGGTGCTGTGCAGCCTCAGGACTGGGGTTTTTGGAGGCCAGTGACGCTCTCGCTGCGCCCGTGTCCTGCTGCGCTCACCCCTCACACAGCTCCCAGCAGAGCACACCCATCCCTGTCCCCAAGTCCTCATCCCCTCAGGGCTGCTCTGGCACTGGGCAGGGAGCAAAGGCACAGTCCTGATCTGAAATATTATTTTTTTTTTTGCATTTCCCAGTGATTGGGGGTTTGTTTTTTTGTTTGTTTGGTTTTTTTGTTTATTTGTTTTCAAAAATCCGTCGTTTCTTGTCCGTCCCTGTGTCACCTGGGGGCAGTCCCCTTGGGGCTAGCTGCTCCGCGATCAATGCAGAGCTATTTGCACTATAGTAATACACACACTTGCACATAACTAAATGAATTTAATATTTATGGCAAGGGGGTGCTGATTCCCTGCTAGTGATTGCATTGTCAGGGGTTGGGTTATAGTTTTGGGTTGGGTTTTTTGTTTTTTTCCTGTGACTGACTCATTCATTCCTGTTCCTTTTTTTTTTTGTTCTTCCCCCTCCTTTGCCTAATATTGTTCAAAAAAAAAAAAAATTATGGTGCATAATGATACTAAGAATTTCCCTGGATCTTAATGATGTGTGCTTTTATTAGTAAGGCGCAGGGAGTGAGGGGACACACATCCATGAACCACCTCGGTGAGGGGCTGTTGGCTGCTCCGGCTGTGCTGGCTTCAAGCTCTCTGCCATGGGCAGGGGGGAAAATCCTCCAAAACCTTCCTGGGTCCAGCCTAGTGAAGGCCCTAGGCTCAAACTGGCTTTTGACAGAGCGATGCCCATGGCACCCTCATTCCTTCAGCCTTATGCAGCTGCAGCTTGGCTCTAACCCCCCAAGAGGATGCTCAACCCCCCTGCAACCACCCGTATGTGTGCAACCCCCCCAGTCCCAAACATCCAACTCAAGCAGCACCAGCCCCTGGGGGCAAGAATGCAGCTCCAAGGAAGACAGGGAGAGAATCAAAACTCTTTTGCCCCTAAGGAGTGTGGTACCCACTGAGCCCCAAGCATCCTCCCCCCTCCCCAAGGATGCCCCAACTCCACATCCTGGTGCTGCACCCGCTCCTGCAAACACGTCCCGTCTGCCCCCATCACCACAAGCGTCTCTCCACTGGCAGTTTCAGCGCTTTATTGTCTGGCAGTCCTGCTACAGCCCCCCCTCCACTGTCCTCCCCGTGGTTAGATCTGGAGGTGGTGAGGGGGGAAAAATCCACTCCCCTCTCCCCAGCACAGCACCCGCAGTGTCTCTGGGAGCTGGAAGGCTGCAGGAGCTGCAGCGGTCCGAAAACTGGCACTTAAGGAATCCTGGCCGTGGCCGCACGCTGCTCCTCCGTGCCAGGCACAGGGAGGTGGGTGTGTGGCCGGGCATGGCTGTGGTCCGGTCCCGCTGGCCTCGCAGCGTGGGTCACTCGCTTTCGGTCATTCTTTTTAAAAAAATGTGGTTCTAAAATGCCACTGGATTCCGGGTTCACGACCAGATGCTCTCAATCAAAAGCCTTGTTTCTCTTCTAAAGAGACCACAAAACCAATCCCAAACCTTTCATCCCTTTTACGAAGTTTCGATTTTGGCCAGAAATTGCTGTGCCCACCACTCCTCCAGGTCAATGGGAACAAAGTCTGGAAGAGAGAAAGTAGAACACAGCAGAGCAGCTGGAGTGCAAGCAGAGCTCCAGGTACTCCCCTGAACCACACCCTACACCAGTGGGGAAAAAAAAACACAACAACAAAAAAACCACCAAACCCAAAATTTCCCCCACTCTTGGTGCCCTGTCCCCTCAAAAGGGCAGGCTGGGTTTACGGGGACCTTCTCAGGAACTTCTCAACCACTGCAGGAGCCCCCCAGGCTGCGTTCGCAGCCCTTGCTGCAGCTGCCATCAGAGAAACAAGTTGTCCCTGTCCCGCTCCAGCTCAGTCCTCAGTCCCAGGAGAGGCAGGTCCCCGTGGGGCAACTGAGGGGGGGTCCTATACAGCACAGCACCGAACCCACCTTGGGTGACTGGAGAAGGCATTGCTTCCAGAAAGTCACAACGGGGCATCCTGTTCGCTTGGGTTCCTCCGATAGGGCACACGGTGGGACATCCCCACCACGGTGCCCTCCTGCACCGCCGCACCCCGAGCGGCCTCAGCACCAGCAGGATGGACCCAAGCGAGCCCTTTTTGCCAGCCCCTCTGGCACCAGGATCCTCTTCCCATCGCAGCCCCGCTCTGGTGCCTGGTTGAGCCTCCCTCTGCCCCCAAATACTTTCCACTTACTATTCAGTCCGGGGTTGGGGGTTTTCTCTATGTACTGCACAGGGCCAGAGGCGCTCTCTCCGCTCCGGCTGCCGTCCAGCTGCTGCTCTACCTGCTGCCAGGCTTGGAGAGAGGGAAAAAAAGACAAAAAACAGGCAGCGGGTGAGTTCAGGATGGGGATTTCCTGTCACAGGGTGGGTGCAAGACAGGAGCAGGAGGTGGTGCAAAGGAGGACAAGCACCCAAGCTGGGGATCCCATCCCCAGCACAATGTAACTGCCCCAGGAGCGAACCCAAGTGCTCCAGCCCCCCCAAGGATGGGACAGCAAGTGGGGACCCTCTGTCCTCACCTTCATAGACGAAGCGGACGTTCTCC